ATACTTTTTTTTTAGCTATGGACAGTATTGTATTGTGTCCGTAATAAAGATTAATAATATATGATAATAATAATAAAAACACCACTCTCTGCCCAAAAAGTCAAATAATGACTTCCTGGGCTCTTAAGTTTGCAAAATAAAAAACAAGACGCCTGTTGTGGTGTGTTCTATTGGATTTGTTCACAACATTTTACTTTGGTGCACAACCAACATGCATTGTTAAATGCATGGGTACATTTTAGGTACCCGGGCTTTAATTTTATGAGTTTGGTTTGGAGACAAGGTGAGACACACTTGCAACAAACTGGGATGGTTTTGAACGCGCGTTTATGCTCCTGTCTGCGTTTCTATGATTCTTCCCTCGCGTCTATGGTCCTGTCCGCGGCGTCTATGGTTCTGTCCGTGGCGTCTATGGTCCTGCCTGTGCGTCTATGGGTCTGTCCGCGGCGTCTATGGTCCTGCCTTTGCGTCTATGGTTCTGTCCGCGGCGTCTATGGTCCTCTCCGTGGCGTCTATGATCCTGCCTTCGCGTCTATGGTTCTGTCCGCGGCGTCTATGCTCCTGCCCGCGGTGTCTATGATCCTGCCCTCGCGTCTATGTTACAATGCGGCCACAGCAGCCCTGGGCTCAGAACGGAGGATGTGAATGCCGTTCCAGTATGTAATGCAAACAACAGAAAGTGCCCGCGGTCACACATTAAACAGAAATTACGTTTTTAGCGGAAAAAGTTGTAAATTGCGGACATTTTTATTCCTGATTTATCCAGATGTATTTCATTGATCCAGAGAATTTACCAATGAAGAAAATTATTCAAAAAACAAGAAACAGAGCAGGTCCCGGCTCCAGATGAAGAAATGTGTTCCCAGCCTGAATGCGTTAAAGCAACACATCACTTACCCGATCGGGCAACCTGCTAAAACAGCGCACTTGCCCGTCCCACATCTTTACTTGCCCCGGGCAAGCGGGCAACCGTTAAGCCTAGTTTTCTACTTGCGCGGCGCGGAGCTTACGGAGGTGACGTGACGTCACTTGCGGAACGCGTTGGTCACCGCAAGGCCCTTACGTCGCCTGCCGCGCAGCATCGAAATTTTCTTAACTACGTAAGTTTGTGTAAGCCCTCAGTCGTACAGGGATTAGTCAAAGCAAAGGAAGCTTTCTCACCCATCATCTGTACTTCTTAGCAAGTTTTCCCGACGTTTCGTCCTCAAACTAGCGGACTTCTTCAGGGAATGAATTCTCGGACCGCGCGTTAGCCACACAAAGTAGCAGCGTAAATGGGACCGCTCCTGTGTGATCGCCCTCATGTGGTTTGTTTTGGGATTACAACATTCTCCTCAAAACTCCGTGAACGCGCCAGTATAACATCAATTGTGCTTACGTAGGTCCACCGCAACCGCTAACGTAAGCCACGCCGCGCAAGTATACACTAGGCTTTAATGTCGAGCCCTGTATATATATATATATATATATATATATATTATATATATATATATATATATATAGTGCCTTGCGAAAGTATTCGTCCCCCTTGAACCTTTCAACATTTCGCCACATTTTAGGCTTCAAACATTAAGATATAAAAATTAAATTTGTTGTCAAGAATCAACAACAAGTGGGACACAATCGTGAAGTGGAACAAATACCAAAATTAAATGTTTATATCTTTATGTGTGAAGCCTGAAATGTGGCAAAATGTTGAAAGGTTCAATACTTTCGCAAGGCACTGTGTGTGTGTGTATATATATATATACATACATATATACATATATACATGTATATATACGTATATATGTATATATACGTATATATGTATATATACGTATATATGTGTATATATGTATACGTATGTGTACAGTATATACAGTGGGGCAAAAAAGTATTTAGTCAGCCACCAATTGTGCAAGTTCTCCCACTTAAAATAATGACAGAGGTCTGTAATTTTCATCATAGGTACACTTCAACTGTGATAGACCGAATGTGAAAAAAAAAGCAGGAATTCACATTGTAGGATTTTTAAAGAATGTATTTGTAACTTATGGTGGAAAATAAGTAATAATAATAATGCATTGGTTTTATATAGCGCTTTTTTGGACACTCAAAGACGCTTCACATGTGTCGTTATTCTTTCACTCCATACACGGTGGTGATAAACTACTACTGTAGCCACAGCTGCCCTGGGGCACACTGACAGAAGCGAGGCAACCAGTATGCGCCATCAGCCCCTCCGACCACCACCAACCATTCATCCACACACCAGACTCATTCTAGGCAATGGGGGTGAAGTGTCTTGCCTAAGGACACAACGGCAATTTGGCACTTTACAGCCGCCCCACTGTGGCTGGTGTTCCCAGAGGTTAAGTGTCTTGCCAAGGACACAACGACAGTAGTCAGTGGGAGTCAATGGTGAAAGTCTTGAGGCGGGGCTTGAACCCACGACCTTCTGGCTCAAAGGCCAACGCTCTACCAACTGAGCTACTGCCGCCCTGTATTTGGTCACTACATAAATAAAAATTCAACTCAATACTTTGTGATACAACCTTTGTTGGCAATAACAGAGGTCAAACGATTACTATAGGTCTTTACCAGGTTTGCACACACAGTAGCTGGTATTTTGACCCATTCCTCCATGCAGATCTCCTCGAGAGCAGTGATGTTTTGGGGCTGTCGCCGTGCAACACGGACTTTCAACTCCCTCCACAGATTTTCAATGGGGTATAGGTCTGGAGTGGCAAGGCCACATTTCGCCACATTTTAGACTTTCAAATGCTTCTTACGGAGCCACTCCTTCGTTGCCCGGGCGGTGTGTTTGGGATCATTGTGATGCTGGAAGACCCAGCCACGTTTCATCTTCAAAGCTCTCACTGATGGAAAGAGGTTTTGGCTCAAAATCTTACGATACATGGCCCCATTCATTCTTTCCTTAACACGGATCAGTCGTCCTGTCCCCTTAGCAGAAAAACAGCCCCAAAGCATGACGTTTCCACCCCCATGCTTCACAGTTGGTATGGTGTTCTTGGGATGCAACTCTTTCTCCAAACACGACGAGTTGAGTTTATACCAAACAGTTCTACTTTGGTTTCATCTGACCACATGACATTCTCCCAATCCTCTGCTGTATCATCCATGTGCTCTCTGGCAAACTTCAGACGGGCCTGGACATGCACTGGCTTCAGCAGGGGGACACGTCTGGCACTGCAGGATTTGATTCCCTGTCGTCGTAGTGTGTTACTGATGGTAACCTTTGTTACTTTGGTCCCAGCTCTCTGCAGGTCATTCACCAGGTCCCCCCGTGTGGTTCTGGGATATTTGATCACCGTTCTCATGATCATTTTGACCCCACGGGATGAGATCTTGCGTGGAGCCCCAGATCGAGGGAGATTATCAGTGGTCTTGTATGTCTTCCATTTTCTGATAATTGCTCCCACAGTTGATTTATTCACACCAAGCTGCTTGTCTATTGTAGATTCACTCTTCCCAGTCTGGTGCAGGTCTACAATTCTTTTCCCTTGTGTCCTTCGACAGCTCTTTGGTCTTGGCCATAGTGGAGTTTGGAGTCTGACTGTTTGAGGCTGTGGACAGGTGTCTTTTATATAGATAAGGAGTTCAAACAGGTGCCATTAATACAGGTAGCGAGTGGAGGACAGATAAGCTTCTTAAAGAAGAAGTTACAGGTCTGGGAGAGCCAGAGATCTTCCTTGTTTGAAGTGACCAAATACTTATTTTCCACCATAATTTACATATGAATTCTTTAAAAATCCTACAATGTGAATTCCTGGATTTGTTTTTTTTCCATTCTGTCTCTCACAGTTGAAGTGTACCTATGATGAAAATTACAGACCAATGTCATTATTTTAAGTGGGAGAACTTGCACAATCGGTGGCTGACTAAATACTTTTTTGCCCCACTGTGTATATATATATATATATATATATATATATATATATATATATATATATATATATAAATAACTCTTTATTGCACGGATCATTTGTCATGGATAATTTATCCCAATGTCATCTAAAGCTACGAATTCTGCCGGCGCTGACCGCGTTAAGTATATTGATACTCTGGAGTAATCTGTCTGGCAAGAGCCTTAGAGAAATTGAGGGAGATCGTAGATTTGGATCCATACTGGCGAGACCAGTGGACTTTGCCAGAAATTGCTTACTTTCACTTAACAGTTTTATAATTAGAAAATATATTTCTTTCAATCAATAATTTATTTTGAACGAAGCAGTTGATATCACAGGCTGTAAATCACTTCTGTCTACCACCCTTCCCCCCCCTCCTCTTCCTCCTCTCCATTTATGCTTGAGGCCCATATATACGTTGTATCACAGTCAAATCTCAGCTCTGAATATAAACCACACATGCACAGATTTAGCTAGCTCTTACCTGTTATGAAATGGTCAGAACAGACCTTATAGTGCAGTTTTTCTGGGGGTTAGGGTTGAATCCCTCTCGCCAACTAAAGGGTTCCTTTCTCCGTCGAGAGTTGCTCCCCTGGCTCGTAATAACCTTCGGAATGTCCCCACAATCTGCACTGTTACTGCACCCCCAAACGACGCTGGTAGTCGGCATGTTTTTGCGCAAAAAAAGTGATTTGAACGCTTTGTTTACCTACAACTAGCGGCGGCTAGACAGCCAATATGGCGAGCTGCGGAATTGTGGGTAGTGCCTGACGCCAATGGAAAACCTATCTATCTTCCCCCTTCCCTCCTCCACCAATATATTCTGCACTACTATGTTGCACATAGTAATTTATGTTTTTTATGGAATCTGTATCACATGGTGTTAAATAAAAAAAAAAAAAAAAAAAAAAAAAAAAAGGAAAACCTATCTATCTGGAATCTATTCCCATCAATATGCTTGGATAACTAATCAATGCACACACAAAAAATAAAACGTATGTTAATAAGATGTATAACAAAAAGTAAAAAAAAAAACTTTACACCACCCAATGCGGCTTATGGTTAATGTTTGTTAATGATTGTGCTCAGGTGGTGCAAACTCTGGGGGTGGCCATCTACCGAGCTCTGGACTGGGGCCTGGACAGCAGCGAGGAGCGGGAGCTGAGCCCACAGCTAGAGTGCCTCATCGAGGGCATGGTGGGGGGCGAGGAGGGGAATGGGGCAGGGAGCGGGGCATTTGACGAGGGTTACAGTGAACCAGAGGCGGCCTGTCGTCCCGTCTGTTCCCTCCGCCAAGTGATGGCCCTGTGTTCATGCCGCCTGGTGGAGCCCTCTCTGGCCCCGGAGCATTACCAGGCTGTAGTCAGAGCGCTGTTTGTGGAGACACTGGAGCTACAAACCTTCCTCCAGAAGATCCGAAATGCCAAACAGGTCTGACCTCATTCTTCACACATAATAGAATCACAATATCTTCACATGATATGAGTGCACATGCCTCTGCCAAATTATAATACTGGCGGTGACCATATTAAATAATATGGACCGCTTGTGGCCAAGTCACGGCTGTAATTTATGCAGAGCCAATGAGCTGCCGCGAGTCATCAGCTGGTAAACAGAAAATACATGAAAATACAAACTGTGCTGTTATTACACATGGCTGAAACTGCTGTTGTGATGAGAAATCTGTGCAAAAAGAAAGTGGCAGCAGTTTCTACAAACATTAAAGGTCCTGAGATGGATAAGTTGCATAAATATTATTTTTATTTTTGTCTAATTTTTGAAGTCTATACGGTAAGATAGTGACAAATAAACAAATAAATGCTTCCTCAGATGTTTGCCCAAGGACCGATGTGCATATTCTTGAATATTTAGCCAAACCAAAAGACAATAGTGAAGCTAGAGCGGACGTGTGGGGAATTAGATTAGAACAATGAACTACATAGTGCCAAGGATCCTTCAACGGACATAGCCCTATGTATTTGTTAGAGAACATGTCATTTCCAACAGTATATGTTTGAACAAATGATTAATTGCCTTGAGTCTGTTGAACTCATACTTGAAAAGCTTGATGGGACGGTGTGGATGACCACAGTCTGCTGTTGTCTCTGTTGTAGATGTTGAAGAAGATGAACCTGGAGGACAATGTAGAGGACAAGTCCATTGCAGAGCTAGACTCTCTGCAGCACCAAGACTGGGTGAGAAATGAAGTCTTCCCAATATTTCACACCATTTTACCTAGTCACTCACATTGTTTAGAGAACACTATTGAATATTTATTATCGGACAGGACCTGGCCTGCAGCAGCAGCATTGTGGATGGTATACTCTGCATGACATGTTTTATTTGAGTATATCTGTTCTATATTGGTTATTCATGTCAAACTGTTTTACATAAGTTAATAATTAAAGGGTCCCATTACACTTTTACATCCTAGAAAGTAATACAGACAGACCTCCTCCCTTACGCCTGAGCGGTGATTTTTTTGTGTCAACAGATTTTGAATTTGAAATGTTTAACCCTGAAAAAGCATGTTTGATTTTTGTGTCTTTGCATTTCGGTCGCAAAAAAATCATTTTACAAATGATTACAAATTGTGATTACAAATTCAAAATGACATATTCACCTTCAATATATTCAATATATTTTTTTTCAATACATTAAAACCTCTTAAACTCCTACATCTGTTTTGGCTCGTGCACAAAAGTTTGGCATACCCAAATGTCTTTGCTTATTTAAAAACACATCTTACATCTCACATGCTTGTGTGATGCATGATTTTAAAGCTAGGCCCTTCTAGTTTATGTAAATATACACTGAAATAATGTATGTCATTCCTATTTCACTCTGCATCCTTTGACGTTTGGGAAAAAAACGTTTTTTTAGCCTCGCCTAAAAAATTCAATGTATAAATGCCCTAAAAAAGCCTACTTCATTGGAAGAAGAAAATGTTCAACGCTAATTTGTTCATTGTGTTGTTGACAACAACTGTGTAAAGTTTCAGACTTCTAAGTTTTATAGTTTTTATGCAGTTTCTCTTTTTTATCAAGTAGTGCCATTCGGAACCAATTTGGCAAAATGTGTGCCAAATTGTGCCAAACTGCTCTACTAAAATTTCACCATCATAAAAAGCATATTTTTTAGTTTTGGTACTTATAAGTTACAAATCTGTGTGATTTTCTTTTAAATTTTTTCAAAATTATTTTTTTAGTAGTGTAAATGCATATAAAATATGCGCAGCAGTACTACAGTAGGTCCCATTTCGTTTTGTCGCCTTTCACGCGTGAATCACACGAGACTCACGTGTGATTCACGCGTCTTTTATTTGTTTTTTTTTCCCAGTGATGCTGCAATGACCCAAACAACCACCAGGTGGCACTTGTGAGCAGAGAACATTGGCTTCTCACTGCTCATTATTCTCTCTTCACCGGATGATTTGCTGTGGCTTTATAGCTCATTGATAAGGAGATGGACTGTGGTGCCAGAGGACTTAGGTTCAAGTACAGGCTGAGACACTTTTGATTTTGTTAACGTTTACATTTTTTCTAAAACATAGAAGGTCCAATGCCCCAGAAAAAAATAATAATAACCACACACGTTTATTGCAGTAATTTTTGTTAATACTTTTCACGAGGAGTTAGTGGACATGTGTGCCTTTAATATGAGCGGCCTTTGTGGGAATGGTTATATTCAAAGTATTAGAGTAAAATGAGTTTGTAAAACACCTGCGGCGCAGCGACGCGAAGCAGGAGCCGTAGTTCTGAGCGGAGCCAGAGCAGAGCCAGAGGTCTACAGAGATCAGAGAAGTGTCTGGTACTGGCTCACTCAGATTCAGAGACACGCAGGTCTCCAGTGAAGCAGATACAGACATTATTAGTGACAGGAGTCCGCGCCATAACAGTCCACAGTCACCCACAGTTTACGTCCTCCGTGTGGCCACCGCGGTAAAGAGGTCCGGCTTTTCGGAGTCAGCGGTAAAGCGCTCCGCACATTAAAAGCGGATAGCCTCTTTATGCTGTTAATTACAGCAACATTGTAAAGAGAAGACGTAGGGATGAGCCGCCACAATGCACTGTTTAACATAAAGCGGCCACCCGCTTTGAATGTGCGGACCTCTCTACCGCTGACTCCGAAAAGCCGGACCTCTTTACCGCGGTGTGCGGCCACAGTGGAAACATTCTGCGAACACCAGACAGGAGACGTGGTGAAGGGGACAGGGGGATCATAACACCGGGCATATGGGTGAATGCAGCAGGGTTAAACAACCGCGGGGAACGCAGGAGACGTGGCAGAATTAATAGTTACCTAATGTAACTTAAGTTCTACGAATAGGTGCGTAGTCCCTTAGGACTTCGCTAGTGGGATATCACTCGTGACCCCCAGGTCACACGCCAGAGAGATCAAAATAATTTGCTCCAATCACCAGCCACCATCCTCTATAAATGCCCCTGCACAAGGCCGCACCCCCTCTTGAACTCTGCCAAGCCGGGCTGGCCTGATGGGCTCGTAGCTAAGGGACTACGCACCTATTCGTAGAACTTAAGTTACATTAGGTAACTATTAATTCTACGTCATGGTGCTACGTCCCTTAGGACTTCGCTAGTGGGACACAACGCGGAGGCCGTAGGAACATGTACTCCCAGCAGGCCAGCGAAGGGTGATTGGAGCTCCGCCCCGAGCAAGACCCTCACACAGTGAGAGGACTCAGGGCAGAAGAAACAATGCGTGTTACAGGGCCACTCCTACCAAGGATACCCCCACGTAACACAGACCGTAGGTCATCCGTAGTCACAGGACGCCTCTCCCAAGAGCTCCTGACGTGGACTACCTGACCGACCAAACACACATTTATGTACCGCACCTGTAGGATGCCTCTCCCAAGAGCTCCTGAACCAGGGCGGAAAGTAAACCGAAGGCCCCCTCAGAGGAGGGACCTAACGGTCTAACTCAGTCCGCTGCACTCAGCACGGAATGGGCCACCGACCGATAACCTTGCCTGCAAGCTGAATTCTCGCGGTATTTGTGAGTTCACAAACACTCGAGAATACATCTTGTACCGCTCCCGCTTACACTTTTCGAGTCGAACCACTGGGTGTGCGAGCCAATCACGCGCCAGTCTGGGGGTTTAGGGCGGGATATCCGGGTTTGACGAAAGCAAGAAGTGCCGGGCCGAAGCAAAACAAACATGGCTACGCAGGAGGACGGACGCAAAGTCAGTTTTAGCAGAATCTCCTATTTCTTTTTTGAAAGATGAACAGCGAGAGGCGCTTTGTACATTTCTGGACGGCAACCTTGGTAGGCGGGCACACAACGTCACGTCGCCCAATCAGCTTCAAGTATTCTGCTGCTTACCCCTCCTTTCCCCGAAAGGATTCTCCGGGAGAAATCCCAGATTGATATCGCGGAGAACGCGTTAGAGTTCTACACAATCATCAATCTGGCTTTTGCCAGGTTAACCGACCGATCCGACACATCCAAAGATAAGACCGGACGAAAGAGGAGGACGACGCCCAAGAAGCCGCACGGTAGACGTCCTCGACCGACGCCCCCCTGAGAAGGGCCATAGAGGCCGCCATCCCACGCGTGGAATGTGACCTGAAGCCCACCGGGGGGCCAGACCTTGCGTCTGATACGCCCGCCGCACAGCCGTGGCGACCCAGTGCGCCAGCCGCTGAGCCGACAGCGGGGCGCCCCTGTTCTTGGGGCCCAGACACACAAACAGCTGACCACCCAACCTGAATGACGACGTAATGGCCAGGTAATGCCTCAGCATTCTGACAGGACACAGAAGGTGCTGCCGCTCCTCCTCGGGGGAGGCATGCGGCGGCGGATGGAAAGCCCTAATCCTGATGACTCTCGACCTAAAGGCCGACGTGATGACCTTGGGGAGAAAAGCCGGATTGGGCCACAATTCCACCATGCCGTCCTCCTCTCCAAAGGACAGGCAAGACGCATGGACGGAGAGCGCACACAAATCGCCCGCCCTCTTAGCAGACGCCAACGCCAGCAAGAGGGCCGTCTTAAAGGCGATACACTCGGGACTCGCCTCCGCCGCCGGTTCAAAAGGCGGACCCGACAGCCCCCTAAGGACCACCCTGAGGTCCCAAATCGGAGGCGTTCTCTGGAGCGGGGGCCTCCTCCTGCGCGCCCCCCGCAGAAAACGTTTAACCAACGGATGAGAACGGGCTGTGAACCCCCCGAATCCGTCGTGACCCGAAGTAATGGCTGCCGCGAACACCGCCAAGGTAGCGACAGCCCTCCCCTTCTCGAAGAGCTCCTGTAGGAATCCCAGGACCCCCTCCAGCGGGTGTTAAGGAAGTTTCTACCCAATGAAGGAGAAAACTCAAAGGTCTTTGTCTTATCAAAAGCGTAAGTTTATTGTTAACATGCGCACGGAGAGTCAGCACATACAGACACGAAGGCAGCATGTACTAGCTCTG